CCTAAGGACTGTGACTTGCCCACCACTCATACAGCTATCCAAGTGACTGAGCTAGAACCAGGGTCCTGTCCCCTCTGTCCTCCAAGGACCTCAGATTTCCCTGGCTCTCAAATAGCGAGACTATCACCCACATAGAGATCAGCCATGTATTTCATCAGGACCTCTTAACATTCTGCCCTTCGTGGCCCTGGAATGAGTCTTGTTCAAACTTCCCCTCCACAGCTCAACAAATAAGCAAACAAAAATAAAGAGCTTAGCTTTCCACGAAAAGGCAGTGTAAACACCTGGCAGGCTTCCTGGGTCTCAGCTTCCTCTGGCTGGGTCTAAGTGCACAATGTGAGTGTATTTGGGTTTCAACAGAGGAGGCCTTGCAGACATTACTCAACCCCCTGCCAAAGCGCAGAGAACTTAGCAATGGAAATACAAGTGCTCTTGTTCGTTGACCAAAAAACTAAACAAATCATTTGAGGTTTTGGGTTCAAAATTCTTTAAAAAGTGCAGTTCCCACATATTCAGTTGGGATATGTGTAAGTATATGCGTGTGTTTGCTTAAATCTTGTCTGGAAGAAGATGGACTATAAATATAAATATGTGCAAATAACTTAAGATAAATAAGTTCAAGGAGAAAACAGTCCCTCGTTTCAGTTTTAGGAAATGAAACAGGCCAAACTGGATCACAAATACGAACCAGCCATCAGCAAAACCATCAAGCGGGTCAAGTTTTCTCTACCATCTGGGTAACTTTGGGAGTCACTTCAGCTCTCTGGGCTTTAATTCCTCATCGGTAAAATGGGGATAGTATTAGAATAGCGTAAAATTGGCTGTGGTGAGGATGGGTTTAGGAAACGATGTGAAAGCCTTATAAACCGTAGAGTCGTACACACGGGGCAGAGGTTGTGTTCACTGCTCTTTTCTCTGGCAGGTACAGGTCCCATTGTGGCCCCTTCTCCTCCATGACCCAACACCCCAGCTTGTCTCATGATGACCCCTGGCTGCTCAAGAACCCCAGGAAGACCCCTCTTATGGACTTCCCCGCCCCCACAAGCACCAGAGATTTTGCAAATGATAGGTGACAGGTGAATTTGGTTGTGGATGGAAGGCAAGAGAAAACTGAGATCACCAGATTTAAGAAAGCATAAGATAACCAGCCACTGACAGTACTAACCAAGTTAATCCCTCCCCCTGAGAGAGGACGCAGAAGAGGAAGTCCCTTCTCAGTAGCGGAGCAGAACGTTCATCTTTCTGGAGGGCATGGTAAGAGGAAGTCTGTAGCAGGCAGGTGCATAACAGGTAGCACAGGCAAGAGGGAGTAGAATGAGCGAGACAGAGACAGTCTTAATAAGTCTTAATAATAGCAGCCAACTGAACACCTTGCCTCAAGGAGGAATACCTAATAAATAATTAAATGAATAAATGACTGATTGAGTTTAAATTAAACAATGTAAGAAAAGTTCAGCTCTGGTAAACTTATCTAGGCTGTTCTAATCCAAAAATAAAGGAGGGACTGATTTTAACTTCAGCTAGCCTATCAGTTTTATGTTTTATGGCTTAATTGAATTTTATTTTGAATTATATATGAAGGGGAGACACCAGAGTCCACTCAGTGCTTTGACCATCTAATGATCCTGACCCTGATCCAGGAGGCACTTGAGTACTGCCTGTCCTCCAAAGCTGCTAAGGGGAATTCAGATCATGCCTGGTCTTTCAGTCCTACCACCTGGTATGCCAACAGCAGAAAGGCACTGAGTGTAAGAAATGACATGCTGCAGCAGGAACACTGGCCAAATAAAAGTGGAAGCTCTGTAGAAGGGACCGATGTTCAAATCCCAAAGCCAGCCAGGGCTTGCACAGTTCTGGGGAACATAGAACCAAGAGGAACAGGACTGAGGTCCACCTCAGGAGCCCAGGTCTGAGAAGGTAGCAGCTCCAGGAAGAACAGAATTATCCAGAAAAGTTGACCGAAACACCGAAGAGAAAAAAAATCAGGAAGATATTCTGGATACAGTACTAGTAAGAAACAGGAACAGCAGTGTCAAGCTTGTTTGGAACTGAAGGTGGCATCTCCCTGGTCCTCCTCTTAGGCCCTGGATGAATGGAAAACACCTGGCTATCCATATCTCAGAGCCCTCTAATCAGGGAAGCTGGCGCACTCTTCCAGCGCATGGGGATCTTTTTGTCATTGAACTTGAGGGCAAGAGGGAGTGGAAGTTACATGGAAGGAACCTGGAATGGGAAAGATAATTCCAAGTTCGAAACCAGTGGTTGAGAAGGAAAGACTGGGGCAAAAGGCCAAATGATCTAGAGTTACAGAGATGTTGGAACGGATAAGAGAACAAGGCCAAAGATAGGGGCAAAGCAGAAGCTTCACAATCCTTTTTCATGTACATGTCCTATTTAGTGTGGGTCAGACTTGTTTCAGTACACAGTGGATCAATATGAATACCAAGCAAAAATGTGACCTAAGCAAGCCCAGACCACCCAAGTTTGACCTACCACCTGACATCATTGCTGAAATTCTCCAAGGAGCAGCCAAGTGTGAGTCTGAGATCTGACATGGGGAGTGAAGGTGGGAACAGATGATAGATGGAGAAAAAAAAATGATGTTACTGTTTTAACAGGTAGAGCAAGAATTCCTCCTAGGGAGGATCTCTCTTTGTTTATTAAAATTCCTTAAAGCAGCTTGCAATAAAAGTACCACTGTGAGTTATGTGTAGGCAGTGGCTAAGGTATCAACAGAGAGAAATAATGTATGCTACATCCAAAATTAATGAGTTTGAGGGTACAGGAGAGAAGGAATGGAAATGGAGACCAGTTAGTGAAATGATGTGAGACTAGGCCACTGTACAGGAAGAAGAGTGAGAATCCCCAGTGCCAGCATTGCTGAAAGACATTAAAGAACTATGAGGCCTTGTACCAGTCAGATATTGCTGCATAGCAAATGACACCACTACTTGAAACAATGAGCAATGATTTTGTGCTCACACTTCTGTGAATTAGCTAAAAGGCTAGACTGGGTGTAGCTCAAAGCCATGTATTTGTTCCAGGTCTATGACACATGGCTTTCAGTCTTCTGGGACCAGCAGGATACCTGGTGCACATTTTTCTCTTGGTAATCGCAGAAGTACAAGAGCCAGATCCTTCCTCACAAGCACATTTCAAGCCTTTGTGTTACCTCTGCTAACATTCCATTGGCTGAAGCAAGTCATGTGACCAAACCATCTATCAATCAGGCCGGGAGGAAGGAGAGGGTAGCAGTAGGGAGTAAATAGTTGCTAAATCATGATCTAATCTACCAAAAGCCTCATGCTAAATTCCAAATAGTTTTCATTACTGCAAGGTAAATTCCTCCTTGGACCCCTCTGTCAATCTTTAATAAACGTACCACAAATACAAATTGTGTGAGTTTATTTTATAAAGAAATCAAGGCAGAGGAGCAACATGATGCAGAGCAGAGAAAGTAGATGGAAATAGTGAGGTGATCCACAAAAGAGAAAGCAGAGTCAAAGGCAGCCACAAGCCCCATATCCTCCAGAAAGTCACAAGCATTTGGAGAAAAGCAGGAAGAATTGTAACCAAGCTTCTTTAGATTTCAGGGAGAGCTCACCTGTCAGCTGCCTTACCTAAGACTTTACCAATGGCCACTGGTAAGTGAGGCTAGACTGCCATTTCATTGTCTGGCAGGAAGCTATGGTTGGACAGGGCAAGCCAGAGAATCTTTGGGGCTCATTCTGAACAGCGGGGAGGAAGGTACCCATTAAGCAAGACAGGACAAACAGAAGGACCCAAAGGTTCTTATTTGAGTACAAGAAGAGGGTTTTTTCTTAAGAATAAGGTAAAATGACCAAGTCCTTAGAAATAAAATATACAGTCGTTGCAGAATGATCAGGTAGGCTAATTTGAAGTTTAGTTACCATATACACTTAACTAGAGCACTTCATCCCTGAAGTGGACAGCATTGTGTATCACACTTCAGAGTAAGGGAGATAGAGAAGGCAAGGACGACCATGTTAAAAACTTGCTCAATATCAGGAACTAGATATACCATTTTATTATCTGACTTAACCCTCACTAGTCCTCTTCTCCCCAAGTGTAGGAATGACTACCCCCCACTTTGTGGACAAGGAAATAGGATCAGAGTGGCTGACCTTTTTCTAATGTGAAAGGCAAGGTTACACATGTAAGGTGAGGGAAGCCACTCAGCTACAGTGAGAAGGGGAACCTGGGAGCAAAGGAGTCAGCAGATTGCCACATACAACTCTTTTGCTGGATGAATTTATGAGGATTCTTGTCATGCTATTAGGACTTGAAAGGAAAGAAAAATCCAGGATGAACTTTTATGATTATGAGTCATGTGATGTTCGAAGACCTCAAAGCCTTTACAGATGCAAAGCAGATAAATGCTGATCCTTTGCGAATGAATAAAGAAAACATACCTAACGTTATGCATTAATCTCACCCTCTACTTATCTTTACAGATTCCTCATCTACTCTATCTTCACAGCCAGAAAAGGAAAACGAAGCTGGGGCAGGAGAGAGCGCTAACATTTAATAAATGCTATTTTCTGCCACCTATGTATGTCAATAGATTTAAAAATGCCTAATGATAAAGATTAGATAAGCGCCTCTATAGCATGACTCTACTACAAGCTGGCAAATTTAGGAAGAAAGTTAGTCACAAGAAAATTATGTTGTTGGCTTTAAGACACTTACCTGGGCTTGGGGCCCCTAAATTATTATACCATCTTCTGTAAGTTAAATGAGCATTGTTGACACAAAACAAACAAACAAACAAACACCCAAATGCTCATAATGTGATTGCTTGATGACTTAGTCTTTGTCTTCGGTATGGCCGATAATTAAGGCAATCAATGATGGCATGTAGAGATATAAAAAAACAAACAAACAAACAAAAAACTTTCTCAATATTATAAAAAGCATCTTTCTGTGATAGGGCTGGATCTGAAGCTTCATAGTCTTTCTCATAAGTTTATTTTAAAATTGCCCAGAGAAAGCCAGTAACTGAACATTTTTAGAGAAGGTGGGGGCAGGAGTGCAGTTTGCTTTTATGTTCACTGCACACTAGCCATTTGCTTTTTGGAAGCCTTAGAAACGGCATCCAAATTTCTGTGGCAAATCTTTCTGGTCTCAGTTTTTAAAGCAGCTTGAAATAAATCCAGTAATAAATTCAGTAATACTTTGTACATGCCAAAAGCTGTGGGCAGTTAAAGCAAACAAGCAAACAAAAACAACTAATGGCATTAGAGAAAGAAGAGAAGAATGAACCTCTCCCAAAAGGTAAGGCGCATGGTTACCCTTTGCTGAGATTTTTCTTCACTTGCTGTCTCTCTGGTTCTCCTCTTAAAGAGCTCATCTGATGTTAAGTTTGTCAAGATAGCAGCAAAGGCTCAGAAGGGAGATCATACTCAAATTTGTTAGAGATGAAACGCATTTATTTCAACAAGTCTTGTACCTTTTTCTCCTGGGTTAATTCTGACTGCTGAAATGCCAACAGAACTGGTAGCCGGCTACTTGGGTGTATCAGAGTCTGCAGAAACTGCTTTTATGGCAGTATTTTTGCCTTATCCAGATCTGTTATTGCCAAAAACTATTCACCCAGACTTATCAAGCTTGACTTCATGAAAAAATGCCTGCCTAGTAAAAGAATAGTATACAGGATATCATCAAGGCAAAGCTATAAGAATTCCTCATTCCGCTTTATCATGCACTCACTAACCCTCATGTTAGATGGGAACAAAACAAAATTATAGATATTCAGTGTTTTCCTCCCTTGGACAAACACTTTGACCGTTTATCAACCTTACATATCTCCATGGATAAATACTGTGTCCACTTCCAAATGTATGTTTTTAGCCCCCTTTTTAGAGGCTTCTTGGAGTTTGCTCACTCAGGAATATAAGGCCTTCCTTTCTTTCCTCTAATAATGTCTGAGTTCTCCTCCCCCCTTCCTGTCTGCCATTAGACCCCCTACTCCCACACAGAGCACAAGGAGGAGATCTTAGGGTGTATTTGGGTATAACTAAAGCCTGTGTTTTCACTAGGTTAAGGAACTGGGATGAGAGTGTCTGGGCTATTGCCTAGCTGGTGGGTAGCCCCTTCATTCCTTTCTGCATGTCGTTTTTGAAATAAGAAAGTCATGTTCAATTGTAAGTCTGTATCAGAATTTCTCCTACACCAGCACTCTGACAGGCAGAAAATAGATGCTCCTTGTTCGCTTCCTCCATCCCTCCCATCAGTTCTGCGTTCATTCATTATTGGCTTGACAAACCTAACACAATCACCAAATGAGATAAAATACGGGAAAGCAAAGAGCACATAGAAAAGCTTCAACCAAACCATGTTTAACTGAAACAACTTCCAAATCACCTGGGCAGCAGACCACAATATGAGAAGTTTGTTCTGTTTATGTTTATGTGTTTGCATATTGGTTTTTCTACCAAGGGGCCTATGTGATTGCTTAGGTTTTCCTAGGAAAGTCTAACCCTTTTAGAGTCTGAATTCTTGCTGCCCTACACTGTCCTTGTTTTATCTCTCCATTTCATGTTTTAAAGGAAACACTCTTGCAACTCCACAGGGCTCTGACATGTTGCAATGGATTTGAGGGCAGAGGACCCCACGGGCTGAGACCATGTTTTCAAAGCAGGATGGAGGATGGTGATGGGATTGGGTAATGGAAGCTATTTATTTACCACCAGCTGCCTCCAGCTGTGACACCCTGCTAGGTTATGGAATAAAGCACAGTAAATAAACACCACGAGGAGACACGCTGAAGCACAGCATACATGGAAATCCATCCCCTCACAAATCCTGGAAAAATATGTACTCAGTGATGAGCACGTCCAAAATAAACCATCCCAAGCCAACGAGCTGGAACGATTTCCACGTTGCGGCCCCAGGAGCAATTCAGAGGAATAAACCCGGATTGCCAACCAAGGTCATTGCTCTGAGCAGGTAGACCTTCACCTCCCCTTACAAGACTGACTCCCATCCATCCTTCAAGACTCAGGTGAGACATCACTCCTGGAGAACAGCTTCCCTGACATCTGCCACCAAGTTGCTTCCTTCAAGCTTCCATACCCCCCTGAGCTTCCCCTGTCACTTCTCACATGATCTTGAAGTTACATGCATTGTCTCTTTGCCCACTTGACTGTTGGAGTCCCTGGAATCATGGTCCATGATCTAGTCATCTTCATATCCCCAGCACTTAGTACAATCGCTGCTTGCAGCTAACTACTCAGTAAATGTTTTGCTTAGTTGAGTACATTCTTCTTGGAAGCTTCATTATTTGTTGGTCCTTCATTAAGAAAAAAAATAAAGGCATGAAAAGCGCTGGAAGGGACCTTAAGCATTACCTGGAATCCATGAACCAAAGACAATAGATATTACCACCTTTTTCCTACCCTTTCCTGCTTTAGCCCAGTGATTGTACCCAATTTCTCCCTTCTTTATGGGAGTGATTGAACTAAACATGGTTTGGTTGAAACTTCCCTATGTGCTCTTTGCTTTCCCATATTTTATCTCATTTGATGATTCTGTGTTAGGTTTGTCAAGCCAATAATGAATGAATGCAGAGCTAATGGGAGGGATGAAGGAAGGGAACGAGGAGCATTTCTTTCTCCCCTCTCCTTAGGTCCCATGAAAAAAAGGGTAGACAATGTGGCAGCCCGCAGTGAAGAAACACTAACCTTTTCCCACTTCTTTATTTTACAAATGAGGAAACTGAGTCTCACGACATCCTTACCCTCATTTACACCTTTATTTCTTGTCTGCTCTGTCCATTTAATCCTCATCTCTATGAGAGCTCATTTTCAATCCTCACTCCAGCCCATCCACAAGGAGAAATGTGAATCTAGGGTTGACATTGTCAGAGCCTGTGTTGGCCCACATTCACAAAGCTTTCAGAATATGATTCTGATACTTTCTGGATAATGTCTCTTCTCCCTTGTGGCTTGTAAGTAAGACCTAAAGGCAACTGCCCCACCCACCTCAATCTGAGGTGATCCAAGTCCACCTATAGGACATACATACTTTCCAATAATAATAAAAGATTGGTACTAGGATCACCTTTGTTGAACACCTACTAAGCACTCTGCATTCTGCTAGATGTTTCGCCTCCATGATCCCATTTCATTACTACAAAAACTCAACAAGGCAGATATTATCCCTATTTTGTAGTGAAGAAGCTGAGGCTCAAAGAGATTAAGGAGCATGCCCCAAATCATCTAGCCAGTGGACGATGACCCAAGATTGAAAACTAGCTCTCTTGTTCCAAAGCACATATTTTTTCCTGTCGCTCAATAGGAAAGACATTTAAATAAAGAGGAAGTCCTGTTTAGACACAGCTTCTCATTTCTATACCCCTTTCTGGAAGCTCTTCTTCCCTCCTCTACCCCTCTAAGATGTCTCTAGGAAAAGCTGGTAGCTGAGTAGGTAAGGTGCTCCAAACCACAGGAGGCACGGCGCCGAAGCCAAGGATCAGAAACCAGGAGCTTGTTAAGGACTGGAGCCGGTAATATGGGAAGGAGTTGCAAGGACAGATAGTCCTTTCATTCTGTGAACCCAGAGAAGGTGGTTCCCTCCTATTCATAGAAGCTTTCAATGGGCTTCCACCCAGCCCTTCAGGTCTTGCCCAGCAACATCTTGAAAGCACCACTAAACACCTGTCACAGGGCTCTCCTCTGGCCTTGAAGGATTGCCCTGTGGGTTCTGCCATTGTTACTAAAACTGTGGGAACTCAGTAACTTCCTGGAAATTGCAGATTCAGCTATAATGAAGTGACCATTTAGCCAAACCAAATTAACTTCCCAAACAGTATTCCCACTAACCCCAAACAGTATGGCTGCTAACCCAAAACTCTACAAACTTTAAAGCAGAGAGTCAAGACCCTGCAAGGCCACTTTATCCCTTCTCAAACATTTTCTTTTCCTGACATCCCAATTTATGGTCAGTATTTATTCTTTGATTTTACTTTTTCAAAGCAATTAACTTAGAATCAAACTGGTGATTGATTTTTGAGACCAGAAGTCAAAGTTCAGCAATGATCCAAGAAATAAGGTTATTCTAAGAGCTTGGTGCAAGGAGTATTGTGCCAGGTGACTTCCCATTCATCCATTCCCTCATTTATCCTCATAACAGCCCTGTTGGGTAAAATTTTACCCCCCCATTGTAGATGAGAGATTAAGTATACCGATCAATGTCACACAACTGAGAAGATGCTGAGCAGAATTCAAACCCAGGGCTTGCTTTTTGTTTGTTTGTCTTGTTTTTATTCCAGTCTCCAAACCTAAAGGGGCAGAGCTACACAACAATGAATTGTTTTAAGAAATGGCAAGATGCCCAGGAGCATGGAGACATGAAACAGCAGAGGATGTGTGATTCTGTGCACTTTAAATAAGAAATGTGTGGTAAGTAACAAGAAAGGGGTCTGGACAGGAAGTCCGGCCAGGTCACTGGAAGCTATATTAAAGCACTTGGGCACTAGGCAATGCAGAATGTTTAAATTGATTTCAGTAATTAATTCATTATTCTTTCAACAAATATTTTATGTAGTACCAACTATGTATTAAACCCTGGGGACAAAACTGTAAACAGAACAGATGTTTCCTGTCCCCGTTGGGCCCACAGTTCAACAGAGATGATGGCTCATTTCCATATAGAGTGCAAAGTGCTCTGATAGGGAATGAATAGGTGTTAGAGAAGTATTAGGAGAACCAGTGAAGGGAAGCCTTCCCAAGGGAAATGATGCCTGAATCGAGACTTGATGGAAGGGGAGTGAGGGGAAGGAAGTAGTCAAGAAGATGGTTAAAATCAGTGGGAAAAGCATGAGCAAGGCTATAGGTGAGAGGCTGGCACGTTGGAATAACTGGAAAATGATAGAGTGGTTGATGAGCACGGCTAAAGATGAGGCTGGAAATGTAGATTACACTGGGAGGGACAAGACCAAGACATCAGGGAGTGTGAAGAGTAATGGTCATTTTAGAAAATCACTCTGGGTATGGTGGCAACTGGAGACATAGATTCAAGATGCTCTCTGTCTTTAAAAACACCATGAGAATGTGGTTCAAAAAGTTGATGGGGCCTCAGGAAGCAAATTTGGTCAACTTTCCCAATCAAGATGCTTTCAGCTCTAAGGTACAGAAATTCAAACTGAGTTAAATAATAAAAAATGCAATATTTATAGAAAAAGAAATTCAGGTACAAGGAAAGCATAATATAATCGGAGGCTCAATGATATAATTAAGCACTTTTTTTTTCTTTTTAAACTCTCCATTCAGCTATCTTCAACATAGACTCATCTTAAACCTGGTCCCCCTTGAGATAGTAAAATAGGTGCCAATAACAATTGAGGTGATGTTCCTCTTAGTTATTATCCATCAGAAGAGAGAGGGAAAGCCCTTTTTCTCAAGCATGGAACCTACGTCCCTTCTAATCAGACTCACAAGTCACTCCTGGATCACTGGCCAGGGGAGAAATGCCATGTGTTTATTGGCGTAGATGAGTCAAAATCTACCTTTGAAACTGGGAATGGTGTCAACTTTGCCTGTGTCTCATGGCAATGGAGAAAATTAATACCTGAAAAAAAAATACCATTGCGTTAGGAAGGAAGAAGTTGAGGAATAGGGGTGGAGTCCACTACACGCCACTATTACAAACTGAGCACCTTTGCTTTTGAACAAGTGACCACAGCCCTGATACCTTGTGTGCTGTACTGAAGCAAACAAGTCTCGAGTCAATCCCTCACTTATTATCCATTCAACAACAACAACAAAGTGGTAACTCTTATCTCCTGACCTGGTAACTTTAATTATATGGAAGTAACTGTATGCCTAAGCAACTCACATATTGAACTAAGCAATTCTGGATAAAATACAAATTTATTAAATTAGCCTTCATACCCACATAAATTTTTTTAATGATATTATCTAGGCCAAGACATTTTTTTTCTTTTTCCCTTCACAGAATAATGTGGAGGATCAATTTCTCCAGCTTAACATCACCAGCCTTGGCAGCAGCTCATATTTGGAATATAAATGATGTCATCTGGTTGGCCTTTTCCCATCACAAACAGTAAATCTCTGAATCTGGAGAGCTTTTATTTGGTTACACATATTGTACAGCATCAAGGGGTTAGAACACATGTGCTGGAGATTATTAAAATCATCTGGAAGAGAATGGCTTATTATTGGAAAGCCCAGAACTTACGACCCCTTTCATGCCTGGTATCTCCATCAACTCTTCCTTTGCTCCTGCCTTTTCAAAGCAACAATTTTGGCCTATAGGCTCATGAGCCTTTGCAGACTAAAGTTTTGCTGGTGTGCCATGTTTCCTCTCCAGAAAAAGATATCCCCAACATAGTATATAGCAAGGAGGACAGGATTGATTAGAAGTTAGAAAGCCAGCTTCAGCTCAGCAATATGCCAACTAGATGGCTTTGGACAAGTCATTTAAACTCTCTTAGCTTCAGTTCCCCATCTGTAACATGGAGATGGGTGATTACCAGAGGATTGTTTGAGAGCAATAGTAAACAATTACTGAATATTTGCTTATCACTTTCTAATTTGCTAAAATCTTTTAATTACATTAGCATTACACTTATCTTGTATAGGAAAGAACACTCAGTAGATATTTGTTGAATGACATGTTGTCAGGTGGTAATTTGGTTTGATGGATTCTGAGTCACCAACTCATCTCACATCTTGAACTTAGTTTTCTTCATTTCTAATGTGCATTCAACTTTATCTTCCTTTTAGAGTTGATGTGAGGAGTAAGCAAACTAACACACGTGAAGCATTAGCACTCTGTCTTGCACATCGGTGTGCTCAAGAAATAGAGGTTCCCTTTTCTCCAGTTTCTTTCTTTTTAAGAGTCTCATGTTTCTCATCCTACAGAACTGGCAATAAGGCTGACATTCTAGCTACTGAAGGACACAGCTGTGGAGCAGCGAGAACAGCAAGGCCAGGCTGCCGTCCTAGCTTCCAACTTCCCGGTTGTGTGAACTTTGGCAAGTTTCTCAAGCTCTCTATTCCCCCATATGAAAATGAAGGAGCTCATCTAGAGCTGAAGTTCTCAAACTTGTGAAATTCATAGATGAAACAAGCAAGCAAAGCAACCACAAACCAGGAGCCTAACTTAAAATGGTCAAATGTTTTACTTGAAAAATAGATAGTTTTCAGATACCTGCCACTTACCATTACAGTCATTTCAAATAAAAGAAAAAAAAGATGCCCAAGAAAAAAGGAGAGCAAAATTTCAGAGTACAAGGCATTTCCTTAAACAGAACACATTAACTTGAAAAAACTGACTATGAAAAAATTGCTCAATTGTCTTGCTGTCTTCATTTTCTTTCTTATTTTTTTTAATTAAAATTTATTGGGGTGACAATGAATAGTAAAATTACATAGGTTTCAAGTATACCACTGTGTAATATATCATCTATATATCACATTGTGTGCTCACCAGAGTCATTGCTCATTCCATTACCATATATTTGACCCCCTTTACCCACGTCTACTATTCCCCTCACCCCTTACCCTCTGGTAGCTGTTCTCATTCCCACCCTCATATTTCCAAAGTCTGGTAAAAATTTGTCAGGATAGACATGGGTCTTTAAAGTAGCATTTGGGGACCATTGGGCTATATGACCTGGAAGGTTCTTTCTAGCACTAATGTCCCATGATTCTATCATGATTCCACCATGGTAAGGAGCTGTGGTGCTAAAACAATAGTTTATTTGGCTAAGAATAATAAAACACTGAGCCAATACAGAGAAAAAATCAATTCAAAAATTAATTTCACTGAACTGAATGATTCTGCTTTGAAATAGGGAGTTTAATCAAAACAGTCTAAGATATTATGCATAGATCAACACATAGGAATGCCTCGTAGGTCCTCAAGACAATTCCTTGTCCCTAACATTAGTCTTTCTGACTCAGGTTTTCTGTTCTGCTGACTGTAAAATGATGGTGATCACACGTCACCTACCTACATGAAAATGTGAGAGATGTGAGCCGACCAAGTATATCCAGTGTATTCCTAGCTCAGTAAGCACATGTTCATCCTGAGGTCAACTTTTCTAACACCTTCCGCTCTCTAATCTCAGGCCAAAAAAAAGATCTTTGAGCTATACCATGGTGCTCTCAAAGCTCCTGCATGAACCCCGCATATTTTATCACTGAGATTCTAAATAGAGACTCTCTGATTCATAGTGATCACTCATTTTAAACAAGCTAGTTTTCTGACTTTGACCAAATTAGAAATAGACAAGCAGGATCAAGGTAAGAGAAGCTATTAAGACAAATCGGTGGTTGAGGCTATGCTTTGACCTCCCAGAAGGAGAGAACATAAAAAACAAACACATAAACAGAAGTGATGCCCCTGCTGCTTAGAACAAGAGTAGGTGTTCATAACTTTGATTCTAAGTCATCAAGAAAAGTTTAAACTATACTCTGTATCCTTGGAAGTGGAATAGTTATAGATTTTAGCCAAAGTGGTTGAAACAGATGCTCAGAGTGGTATACCTCAGCTATGAGGAAATTCACCTAAGGGAGGTGGATGCTAATTGTCCTGTGATCCTTGATAAATGAAATGGTAACAGCAATTGAAACAGCAACTTGAATGACTGCCTGTTGTGTTGTACTTTGCCTCTTATGAAGCACTCTTTACATCCACTTTCTCATTAATATTCAAATCAACCCTGTGAGGGGGAAATAACGATCGTGAGCCACTCATTTCTCCAAATGAGGAAAAAGACTCAGCGTGGGTAAGTAACTTGCCCAAGGTAGCAGTTAGTAAGTGGCAGGGTCTGCACACCCAAGGCTTCTGACTCTAAGCCCAGTGCTTTTCCCTCCCTCTGCCCCTCTCTCATCCTTATAAATAGCTATGGGACTAAGAGGTTCAAAGGAACTTCCTCCTGGTTCTCAGGCCCATTATCAATGCCTCTTGCCCTGGGGAGGAAATCAAGTCCATGCTCTTTGCTGGCCTATGTGCTAAGTCATTGGCGCCCAGAAATAACCTCCCGGAGACTACGGGCCTTGTATTTACCACAAAGCAGTGGGTAAATAACTAGTTGGTGTTTTAGTGTTTTGTGGTCACTTAATCTGTTGTGTTCCTTCTCAAGACTCTGAAGGTTTCCTTTTTCAGTTAATTTTTATTTACAGTTCTGAGGTCTGTGTTGTTTGGGGTTTGGTTCATTGGATGTTTTTCTTGGAATGTGTTGCCATTGGCTTCAGGATGGCCCTGCTCTGCTATTTCATGGAATTTTCCCTGAGTGTGGATTGCTATGTATTTCTGCAGGGCAGTGAGCCAAGACAGTGCTGGTATGTAATCTGTTCCTCTGGCCAGAGGACTTCTTGTCACTCATCCACATGGGGCTTGATTGTATTTCTCCACTGATAGTTCCCCTCCCGTCTGTGAATGTGCAGTGACCTTGGAGTTTAGCCATCTTGTGTGTTGTGCGTTATTGGCTCTGGATAAGGCGAGCCCAGTTGCTTCTGACAGAGATGGTGTCAACTGATTCTACCAGTTTGTTCTATCAGCCCAGGGTTGGGGAAGGAGATACATGCCAAATGTTATGGAAAGAGTGGAGAAGGCTCACAGGGTTAAAGCTACAGACAAAGCAAGAGTGAGACTGAAAACGTCCAGCCCTCTGCACAGCTCTGTGCCCCAGGAGGAGACAGATCCAAGGATGCCAGGTGCATTACAAGCACCGCACGCTCCCATGACCCTTAGCAAGCCTTTCTTTCTTTGTCTTTGACAAGCCCATAGGTGATGTGCCAGAGGAAAATAAGAATTTGTTCCATATCACAAAGTTTTGTCCTTTGGATATTTTCTTTGTGCATAGAAAAACAAATGAGAATGGTCAAGCAGTGTTTGGTCATGAAAATGGTATGTTTCTCTTAAAGCTTTCAGCCTAATGAAGATGCAAAGCACACACTGAGGCAGAAAGTTGCCCTCAATAATCATTACTTTGGCTGTTTTATTTATTGTACTTCATTTCATTGTTTTGTTTACATGTTCCATACCCTTACTCTTGCCACAAAGAATTTAGGATAGCTTACAAAAACATGTCAATACAAAATAAAATATCCCTAAATCATTGGAAGAAGCAGGGTGAATGGATAATATCAAAGACGTGCATATGATTACTATTTTGAATTTCATAACAAATACCCTTGTAAAATTGTTAAAAACTATTTACAAAGTTGATGCCCAAAGCCTACTGCTTTTCATTTAACGTGTGCTGTGGCTCTCTAATCTGTAGTTTGAATTGGGTGCATTTAAGAATCCATGCTCAGTTTAATTTTAATGTAGAAGTGGGGGAGGCCAACTTTAATCTCCATGCATACCTCTGAAGGCTAACAGTTTTCTCCTTTGCAAGAAGATAAAAGGAGAACTAATATTTACTAGGTACATAATACATACAAGGCATTGAATCCATAACTTGACATTTAATCCATTGAGTTCTCCCAACCAGTCAGTGTATGAGACAGGAATTACCTCCATTGGACAGTGCACATAACCAAAGCTGAGTAACTTACCCAAGGTCTCCAACTAGCAGGGACAAAACCAAAATCAATACAGGAATGTTTGACCTCAAAGCCAGTGTTCTTCTCATTTTATTAAACTGTCTGCCTAAGAAACAAGTAAGAAATTACTGAATGTGCTTGCCCCAGTTGGTGCGTATTAAAATTCTCAAATAAAGGTGGTTTATTCAAGGTTGCCCTCAAGTTGTAGGTAAACCAAGAAATAACCCGGATGTAAGTGGTTAAGGTCAGCAAAAAATATATCTGTGGTTATCTGTGAATACTGGGTACAGCCATGCAAATGTCTTTCAATGAGCCCAGAGAAAACATATCCTAAGTTCCTCCAAATTAGAGGCCATAACAAAACAGAAAGAGTAAGGGCTTATAGTCCTGATACAGAGGAAACAATCCCACTAATCAGAGAGAGAGAGTGGCCATTGGTATTTGTTGGGTTGGCAAAGTCACTTGCAAGAGCTGCAAAAGAGACAAGAAAAATAATACTGTCATTTGTAATAATAGCTGCCACTCACTAGATGCCTAGTCAGTGCCAGGCACACTTTATGATTTATTGCTAATCTTCATAATGGGTCTCTCTGCACACTGTTGATTCTCATCCCCCTTTTTTCAAATGAAGAAACTGACTCAGAGAAATTGTATAGATTGCTATGGCAAGACCACTCATAAGGTGGAGAGCTAAGGTCTCGAACGGAAGCCTGTCTAACTCTAAAACCCACATCCTTTCTACTATGCCTTGCTGCTACTCTTGTACCAGCCAGGCCAACTTGAAAGGCTAAGGCAAATTGAATAACACTCATGCCAAAGACCAAATTCTGAAGGATAAGCAACATCTACTACTGGAGTCTTCTAGTCAGCAGAGAGATATGGACAATAGCAGTAAACATTGACGGCCTCTGGGGAGGACATGACCTTCAGCCCACTGCCAGAGAAAGGGAAGGGAGAGAGCTGGGACCTTAGAGGCTCTAATGAAGGGAGGGACAGGTGTTTCTTACTTCCTTAATTGTGGCTCTTTTGGTTGGTGAAAGTTGGGGATGCAAATAATTTTACCAAGTTATCTAGAATGTAAAGGGAAAACTTACAATTAAAAACAAGTCTCTTTCTATTAGATGCTTGGACTGACATAACAAAATATCACAGATGAGATGGCTTAAACAGCAGGTATTTATTTTCTCACAGTTCTGGAGGCTAGAAGTCCAAGATCAAGGTGCCAGCAAATTCAGTTTCTGGTGAGAGCTCTCTTCCTGACTTGTAGCCAACCTCTTTCTTATTATGTCCTCACATGGTATTTCTTTAGCGCTGCATGGAGAGAGAGCTCTCTGATGTCTCGTCTTATAAGGACACTAATCCTATTGGATCAAGACCTTACCTGCATAACATCTTTTAACCCTAATCACCTCCTATAGACCCAATCTCCAAATACAGCTTCATTGGAGGTTAGTACTTCAGCATATGAAATTTGGGGAGACACAGCATTCATTCCATGATACCTTTCCACTCCAGGCCATCAGTCAGCCCTTTTCTCTCTCCAAGACCATCACTGTACCCTTTCTGAGTATTATGCCAAAATCATTTTTCCATGCATTACATGTCTCTAAAAATGAAGAGAAACCATGGGCTGTGTTCTACATCTTCCTTTCTTTCTCCCACAAGTAGAAGGCAAAGACTGTCTCACATGTCTATACAGCTTTCTGTTTCATTCTTTCTCCTAACTGCATAGTACTCCATTAAATTAGTCATACATATGGGTAATCAATCCCATACTTAAACATACAGAGTTTATGTTTAGACTTCGGCTTTTACAAACAATACTTTAGGGAACATCCT